AGGGCGGTGGGCACCTGGTGCGGCGCGGCGAGAGAAGGGAGCCTTCCGCGCCCTCGCTTCAGCTGGGAGGGCGGCCGCGCGCTCTGGCCTCTGGGTGGTCGTGGGTGCAAAGTTGCCCACTTTGGAAGATAAAGATGCCCTGGCTGCGGTACGGCACACCCGAGAGAACGGACTCCTTTGGAAGCACAGCTTCACATTTGCAGCGTTGTAACTTTCAACCTCATTTTGAAAGGTGGGAGGTCTGAGTCCACATTGTAACCAAGGTATACACATTGTTTATAATGGAGTCTTGAGGTTAGGGTTTAGGGTGTTTGGTTCTGTTTGTGTTTGTTACTGGTTTTGCTTCTGTTTGGAAACGGTGTGCTGTATTGCCCAAGCGGGTCTGCAGCGCCTCAGCTGAAGCAGTCCTGCTGCCCAGTCCCTGAAGTAGCTGGGACTGCAGGCAGGGGCCGCTTCGTCCAGCTGATTTGAGAACTTGAGAAGGCAAAAAGATATTTGTATTTTAAAACTACTTCCATTGCATTTGCAGCGCCTGATTAATCTCACTGAGCTGACCCCGTATATCCTGTGTTCCATTTGCAAAGGTTACCTAATAGATGCAACTACAATTACAGAATGCCTTCATACCTGTAAGCGTGTGGTTCAGATTTCTGAATAAAATTTCCAATTTGTGAAATATCTTTAAAGCATTCTAATGCTAAACATTTTCTTTTTCAACAGTTTGTAAAAGCTGCATTGTAAGACATTTTTACTATAGCAACAGATGTCCAAAATGCAACATAGTAGTACATCAGACACAACCTCTTTATAACATAAGGTAAGACGAATACAAAGTAACAGTCATTTTAACTTTGTTTTTTCTGAAAGCTTGATGTGTATTGAGGAATAAATTCTTGGTCTCCTTCAAAATTAGAAGAGAGCTACATATTCTTTTAAGAAATGCATGTAGGGCCGGGAATTTAGCTCAGTGGTTCCACCGCCTGCCTCTCAAGCACAAGGTCCTGAGTTCGATCCCCGGTACCCCCCCCAAATTATGCATGTAGAACACTTACTATGTACCAAGCACTGTGATATCTGCTGGGGATTTAAAAACAAAGAAAGATAAATAGAGGCCTCTTTTCTTGGGGATTTAAATCATATCACACAAATTCATTATCTTGTTTAGGCTTGTAATTTTTATTATATATGTTCATATATATCTTTTTATTATATTTATATTTTTGTACTAGAAATCGAACTTAGAGCCTTGCCCCTGCCAGGTGGGTGCTAAGCTGCTGAGCTACATCGCTGGCCCTCAGAAGTTCTTTTATAAATAATACCTGAAACAACTGGCTTCAGTTTTTGTTTGTTACTGGGGAGCAAACTCGGAACCTGGCACTTGTTAGGCAGGCAGCGGAACCACTGAGCTAAATCCTCAGCTCAACAAATGGCTTTTTTAAGTAAAGCCTATCATTCATAGATCATAATATATTGTTAATCAAGTTTTCAATTCCTGCTCACTTTCCTAAGAAAAATGCTAAAAGTAGATTACTTTCGTTCGCTCAGCAAATACTAAGTTTTTTATTACTCTATGGAAGAGTGCTTTGTAGGTGATACACAGAAGTCAAAACTGGGGAGTAGGGATGTAGCTCAGTAATGGAGTCCTTGCCTAGCATGTGCAAGGCCCTAGGTTTTATCCCTAGCACCACACACACACAAATTAAAAATATAGTTTGTACCCTCAAGCTTAGATCTAATTAAGGGAGTAAGACAAGGAACAATTTAGTGAACTGCCCAAGATCCCTTGAGTACCTACAGTTCTGTATACTTGAGGCACTCTTAGTCTCTTGGAAGATTTATAGCCCTCTCAGGAGCTGTGAGTGCTCCCTTAAAGTAACTCAGCTCTGAGAAAGGAGATTCCTTCTCCCATTGAGAGACCATGTTAACTCACCATGTGCCAAAATGCATTTTTCCAAATTCTGAGGTATTTTCCATCCTTTCCTTTTATTAGGTTGGACCGACAGTTGCAAGACATAGTGTACAAATTAGTGATCAATCTAGAGGAAAGTAAGTTTCTTTTATTACATAGTTGTGAATCCCAGCATCTCTGACACTGCTAGTTACATTTTAAGTGTAATTTAGTCTGTTTTATCATTTTTTAGGAGAAAAAAAGCAAATGCATGATTTCTATAAAGAAAGAGGTCTAGAAGTGCCTAAACCTGGTAAGTTTGGGTGTATACATAATGTATTTATAGATTAAATAACACTTAATAAAAATAAAATCATGTCCTTTGAAGTTCTTTTTGGCAATAGCTAGTTACATGAGCAAAGAGAAAAATATTTTGAAGATTATTCTGTGGTGTAATCCAGTTTGATTGTGTATAAGAATTAAGAGGTATAAAGTCTAGAGCTGAATTTTCGGAGGAGTTTGTTTCTAGCCCTGCCACTTTCCTAGATGATTTTAGCAAATTACTTCAATGTCTATTTCCTCATCTTTAAACTAACAATAATAAAGGCATTTCATTAAAAAATACTGAGTAGTACAAGTACTTAAAACTGCCTGACACATAGTAACTGCTCAAACATTATCATTATCATTATTATTATTGTTATTGATACTGGGGCTTGAACTTGGGACCCTACCCTTGTGAGGCAGGTGGTGGAACCACTGAGCTAAATCCCCAGCCCTCAAACATTATTTTTCATGATGCTGGTAATGTCACAGTTTTCAAGTCAGATAGATTTGGGTTTAAATTTTGATTCTTCCACTACCTGGTAATCCTAGGCAAGATATCTAATGTGGTAAGCCTCAGTTTATTAGTATTTTTTGAAGTAGCAGTAGTACATATAGGAGTATAAGAATTAAATGAGGGCCAGGATTTAGCTCAGTGGTGTTGCTGCCTGCCCAGCAAACACAAGGTCCTGAGTTTGATCCCCAATACCAAAAATAAACAATTAAATGAGCACCCGGAGTGGTGGTACATGCCTGTAATCCCAGCACTTCCAAGGCAGGAGGATTGTGCAAATTCAAGGCCAGTTTGAACTTTCTAGTTGAGACCCTGTCTCAAAAAAAAGAGAAAAGAATGAGATGATGATGCGTGAGAAAAGAATGAGATGATGATGCGTGACTTGATTTTGTGTGAGATGAAAATGAGATGATATATGGTGTGCTGACCATAAGCCCTGGCATATTTATAAAGCATTGTCTACAAGTACTGTTTCTGTTCTGATGTGCTCTTTCTGTTGCCCTAATAAATTGGTCGCACATATCTGCATTGTGAAGTGGTCCCCTGAACTTGTCACTAATGTCACTGGCTTTGACAGATGAGCTGCTGTTATTAATGAAAAGATTGTTTGTGAACTTTCTCAAAGATCTCAATTTATAAAATTTTTATCCTAAATCAACTTTTTTATTTTCTATAAAATAGCTGTGCCACAGACAGCTCCTTCAAGCAAAGGAAGAACTAAGAAAGTCCTAGAATCAGTGTTTCGTATTCCACCTGAACTAGATATGTCTTTGTTACTGGAATTCATTGGGTGAGTACTCTTAAAAAAAAATCTTCTTAAACTTAACATAAAGTTTTTTCTGTGTAGTTGAGGCTAGTCTAGAACTTACTGTGTAGCCCTGTCTAGCCTCCAACAACACTCAGTGTTCTCTACACCACCGTACCTGTTCATAAATAATTTTTTAAGTCCCAACAATTCTGAAACTATCTTGAACTCAGTTAAAATCAAGTTTTTTTGTGATATCCTTTTAAAAATTAATTGTGAAATATTTATGATTTTTAAGACAGGATCTTGCTATGTTTTCCAGGCTGGCCTCAAATTTATTATCCTCTTGCCTTGTTCTCCTGAGTAGCTGGGGTTATAGGTGTGCCAGGCATGTACTATGACACTTGGCTGATTTAATTTTTTTTTATCGAGTTTATTGGTACTTTTTAAGTATACAGTACAGTTACATTCATCATTGGGATCTTGTACCTTTATGACTTAAATTTTAATAAGAATATTTAACTAAAAACTGAAGCCGGGTGTGGTGGCCTGTAATCTCAGAATTTGGGAGGCAGAGGCAGGAGGATCACTGCAAGTTTACAGCCAGCCTGGAATACATGGTGAGTTCAAGATTAGCCTGAACTACATAATGAGACCTTGTCTCAAACAACCAAAACAATAAAAAAATTATTTTGAACCAAAAAAAAAAAAAAAAATGGAAGGAAAGATACTTTAGAGTCTGAGGCAGGAGGATTGCAAGTTTGAGGTCCTGGGCAACCTAGCAAAACCCTGTTTCAAAAAAAAAAAAAAAAAAAATGGGTGTAGCTCAGTGGTAGATTGCCCTGGGTAAACCCTAGTACTTCAGGAAAAATGAAGTTATTTTGGGCGATTAACATTTTCCTCTAGTGCGCAGGAGGAATTTGGAATTTTTGTTGTTTTGTTTTGTTTTTTGTTTTTGAGACAGAGTCTCACTTTGTGGCCCACGCTGGTCTCACCATCCTCCTGTCTCAGCTTCTTGAGTGGTAGGATTACAGACATGTACCACCACACCTAGCTGAAATCAGTTTTGGGTACCTATTTATTTATTTATTTTTGTTGTGGGGGTGCCTTTTTTTAAAAAGCATACCACAGGACTGGGGATGTAGCTCATTGGTGCAATGCCTGCGTGGCAAGTATGAGGTCCAAAGTTCAATCCCTGGATCCGCAAGAAAATAAGTATACCACAAAAGTCATACTACTGAAGTAACCTATAGGAAGGTTTTTGTTTTGTTTTGTTTTTTTGAGACAGATTCTCACTATGTAGTTGAGACTGACCTGAAACTCACTATGTAGCCCAGGGTGGTCTCGAACTCACTGCCTCAGCCTCCCAAGTGCTGGGATTACAGGCGTGCGCCACCACGCCCGGCTGCAGGAATGTTTTTCATGACAGGAGAAATGGCAGGTGAATTTTAGATTAATGCAAATACAAGGGTAAATTTGATCTACCTGGTAACTCTGTTTGAGTTGGAAGAGGAAAACTACTGAGATAGGTTCAGTCTGTTCTCAGTAATTTTTCAACTGGTAGAATATAAAACTTGATTTTCCCCCTAAATTTAGTATACATGACTTATGACAATGTCTTGTCCTTTTTTGTTCTTTAGTTTCTAAGTGTAAAGTAGTTTATAAAAATAAGTAATCTAAACTGGTGGCACATGCCTGATTCCAGAATTCTGAGAGGTTGAGGCAGGAAGATGACAAATTCATGCCCAGCCTGGGCATGTTAACAATTTAGGGAGATTCTGTCTCAAAATGAAAAGTCAGAAAAGGACTGGGGACGCAGCTCAGGGAAAAGACCCTGGATTAAACCCCCCATATAGGGGGGGAATTTAAGACAGTACCGTATAGCATATACAGAAAGGCCAAGAAACAGGTACTATAGCATGTAGAAAGAGCTTAGTTTGTCGGGGGGGTGGTTGTTGTTTTTAGTACTAGGGATCGAACTCAGAACCTTGCACTTGCAAGGCAGGGGTGGTACCACTGAGCTAAATCCCTGGCCCTCTGTGTCTGTCTTTCCCTTTTCCCTTTGTACTGGGGATTGAACCCAGGGCCTTTGAACTGAGCTACATCACCAGCCCATTTTATTTATTTCTGAGGTAGGGTATTACTAAATCACTAAATTGCCCAGACTTGGCTTAAATTTGTGATTTCCCTTGCCTCAGCCTCTGAGAGTGCTGGGATCACAGCCAAGTGCCTCTATGCTCAGCAATTCATATTGTGAAGTTGGAGGTTCTAATAGCAACTCAAAGCCTTGTTGTAAATCAACATTCATCATGTTCTTACATGTCTAAACTATTATCAGTATTATATCATACAATGCTGCTATCAATATTGACATAATGCAGTGTCATTCCATAGTAAAAGTTTAATGGTCTATGGTACTGTAATATGTCCAACTTGTGAACCCAAAGTGTAAAGTGACAGAAACTTGATGTAGTTATATTCTCTATAGTGTATGTAGTTGAATGCAGGATAATGTTTGGTAAACAGGAAAGGTAATGTCTCACCCTATATGCTGTGTGAGTCCATCTGGAGTTTGTGATCATTTCTAAGTACCATTTTATTTATTTTTTGTTTTGTTTTATTTCTCAGTAGTGTTTTAACAGATTAGTAAACCAATGTATAATTAGAATAATAAGCTTGAAAATGTTATATTTGACAGTGGAAGAAATACCAACACTTAGTTTGAAAAAGAGAAAGCAATGATAAATCCCTCTAGTTAGTTTCAAATATTTATATAAGATTATCACATAAGAAAAATTGGAGTACCAATGGGCAAAACAAGGACCAGCAGGTATAAATTGCAGGAGGAAATGTGTTTGATCTCATGCAAACGTTTTCTAACAAAGTTGCCCACAAATAGAATGGACTGACTTCTCAGTTAAGAAGCTTTTTCTTTTTTCTTTTGGTACCGGGGATTGAATTTGGGACCTTGCACTTGCGAGGAACGTGGTGGAACCAATGAGCTAAATCCCAGACCCAAGAAGCTTTTTCTTAAAATAAAATAATTAACTAATTAATTCTGGCCAGGTATGTATGAGTACATGCCTATAATCCCAACTACTCAGGAGACTGTCTCAATAAAATTAAAAAGAGCTGGGGAAGCTGAGAGTGGTGGTGCATACCTGTAGTCCCACCACTTGGGAGAGTGAGGCAGGAGAATCACCATGAGTTCCAGGCCAGCTGGGCTACACAGTGAGTTTGAGATCAGCCTGAACTACATAACAAGACTTTGTCTCAAAGAAAAAAAAAAAGATCTGGGAATATAGCTCAGGCTGGGTGTGGTGGCACACGCGTGTGATCCAAGCACTCGGAAGGCTGAGGCAGGAGGATCGCTGTGAGTTCAAGACCAGCCTGTACATAGTGAGTTCCAGGTTAGTCTCAACTATATAGTGAGACCCTATCTCAAAAAAAAACAAAAAACAAAACAAAACAAAAAAGGAATATAGCTCAGTCATAAAGCTTTTGCCTAGCATGTACAAGCCACAGGGTTGGATTCCCCACCACCAAAAAAAAACCACACACAAAAAACAAAGGCAAAACACAAACCAGAAGCTGATGTAATTGTAATCTTGCCTTTTTTTCACAACACAAAAGAGATGAAAGAACGTGGACTTGTGCCTGGTGGCACATGTCTCTAATCCCAGTTACTTGGGAAACTGAGGTGGAAGATTGCAAATTTGAGGCTGCCTGGCAACATAGTGAGACAGTATCTTAAAGAAAGAATGAGCAGGGCTGGGGATTTGGCTTAGTGGTTCTGCCTCCTGCCTCTCAAGCTCAAGGGCCTGAGTTCGATCCCTGCTACCAAAAAACAAATGATAAAAAAAAAAGAGAGAGAAGCAGCAGCAGAACACATGTACTTTCATGCTAGGTATAGCTCAGTTTAAATCCAAGCTTAATAAAGCTTGATGACTTACTAGCTCTGATTGTCCTATACATATGAAGACCTGATAGAACATAATAGATGTTCAACAACTGTTAGTGTCCCTTGTCTCCCCCATGAGATAAGATTAACTGATTTATTCAGTAAATCTCTTTGGGCTTCTAGGTGGAAGACAAATGTGAGTAAAATCATGCCCAGGTTGGTACGCTGAAAGTAAAATAACAGAAACAATAGCAAACCTCTAGGAAATATAAGCTGATATTGCTGGTGCTTACCTATAGCCCTGGGGAGGCTGAGGCAGGAGGATCAGTTTGAGGCTAGCTGGACAATATACCAAGACCTCATCTCAAGAAAAGAAAAAAAGGTTGGGTGGTAGTGCCTGCCTATAATTCCAGCACTTGGTGAGTAAAATAAAAATTTTGACATGTATTCCCATAAGGAGAAAAGAATATACTTTTAACTTGTGAAATAAGTATGTACTGGAATAACATACTGGATAAAACTGCCTTTTATTATCAATAGGTGGCAGAAATGACAATTACATTAGTTTATAAAGATTTAGGTGACCCTGTTTTAAAATAGAAATAACTAGGGCCAGGGATTTAGCTTAGTGGTGCCACACCTGCCTCACAAGCTCAAAGTCCTGAGTTCTATCCCTGGTACCGCCAAAAAAAATTAATTCATTAATTAAAAAATAAATAGATGTTTCTCAAGTATGTATATACATTTGTTATTGTATTATGATTAAACATATAAAGTGTTAAATGTTAATTAACTTTGCTCTCATTTTTCAGTGCTAATGAAGGCACAGGACATTTTAAGGTATTTTGCTTTTACTTTTTATTCATTTCATAAGAGGACCCTATAGCATAATACAAATTTGAGTCTGACTTACAATAAAATGGAGGTTATCTTCAATTATAGTAAAAAATATTTCACAAATAAATTATTTAAATATGAAGTGCCTTCAGCAATGATCTGGCATGATAGGTTTCTAAGAAGAGGAATTATTAAGTAGGGATTTGTTATTAATTCAGAACAATAGCCTAAGGAGAAATAAGTGAATAATTTTAAAAACTAAAATCAAATGCTGTGTTAATTCAAAGCTTTTTTTTTTTTTTTTTTGCATAGTTGGTATCTGAAGTTAAATGTGAGCTTAAAATTTTTACAAATGACTTTTTTTTTGGCTCAAGTTAACCTGCCCCAACTTGTTAGTCATTTACAAATTTTAGAGGTGAGAACACACTTGTAACATACAGAAGCTCAGAGTTGTCTCAAGGGCTCCAGAGTCTCAGATGCTGCTGTATAGTGTTTCTAATATAGGATGAGTCATTCAGAAAAAGGAAACTCCTGCCGGGAGGCTAAGCTGCAAGTTCAAAGCCAGCCTGGAGTATACAGTGGGACCCTGTCTCAAAAAACAAACAACCAAAAAGAAAAGGAAAGGAACCCCTATCCCCTTTACCAGGGATCGAACTCAGGACCTTATACTTGCCAGCCAAGTAAGGCACCCCTGAGCTGCATCCCTGGCCCTGGAAACTTATTGAAAAGGGTAAACCATGCCTTATAGTTACTTAGGCCTATAAATATATAAGGAACAGGTAACTCTGATCTGTTTTAGATTTTCAGTGACTTTGTAAAAGTCTTTGCTAAAATTCAGGTGAGTTATACCTTTTGAGTATCCTGTTTTGTTTTGTGAATACACTAGATCAAAGACATGAATTAAAGTATAGGAAAAAGGTAAGTACTTCTCTGGATGTGACGTCTATATGTCTTGTAGAGAGCAGTGTGATTGAGAGAATATAGCATTAAGTCCTTATGATTTTTGGTAACTTTAAACCTCTTCAAAGCTGTGAAGTATCAAACTAATGGTAATTCATTTTAGGAAATTGTTTCATGGCATTTGTTTAGGAAACTTTTATATCAGTGATACCTTTCATAACAAGGTAGAAAAGTGGCAGAAAGTCTCTATATGGTACAAGCACAGGATTATGTTGTTTTAGTGTTCCCTGAGATATCTGTCCAAAGATCTGTGGTAGCCAGACAGGACAGAACTTCTAAAACTCCATGAAGAAAGAACTAGAAAATAAATTGAAATGTTACTCTGTTGCTTCCATAAAGGCACATGTGTACTTGGAATATAGTTCTGATCCTTACACATCAAAAAACTTGATAATAACCAGGCGTGGTGGCGCATGCCTTTAATCCCAACACTCGGGAGGCTGAGGCAGGAGAATTGCTATGAGTTCGAGACCAGCCTGGGCTGCATAGTGAGTTCTAGGTTACTCTCCTCTACATAGTGAAGCCCTGTCAAAAAAAAAAAAAAAAAAAAAAAAAAAAAAAAGATAAAAATGCCACCTATGAGGTGTTTTCGCCAAAACAAGCATGAAAAGGCTCATACATTTACATTTAACTGCTAATTTCCAGGAAATACAGGATGAAGTAATACATTAAATGACACTGACGGAATATAATAGGCTAAATCTAGATGGTGGAAAACTATATAACAAAAGATTCCTATTATTACTATTATATATTGGTTTTTGAGATTAGGTCTCACTATGTAATTTAGGCTGGTCTTGAATTCAGTGTAGCTCAGGCTGGCTTCAGTCTTGTGGCGGCCTGAGTTCAACCTGTGAACTGTGTATCTCAGCTTCTCAAGTGCTGGGATTACAGGTGTATGCTTTCATACACAGTTTAAAGAGATTAAAAAAAATCTACAGATGGAATCTGCTGATTAAAATAGCTAAAGGGACATATAAATTAATTGTATTATAAGAACTCTATTTGGGTTTGATTTGAAAAGTAACCGGTAAAATTTTTTCTTTTGAGATAATAGTCCTAAGTTGGAAACAGTGTAAACATCCGTAACTGATGAGTGGATAAACCAAATGTGGTATGTCTATGTAAAGGAAAATCATTTGGTAAGGAAGAGTGTTCTGACACATGCTACAGCATTGATAAATCCTGAAAACATTGTGCCGAGTGAAAGGCCAGACATAAATTTGTGTCTCTTGTTACCTTCCACATAGATCAGACATCCAGAACAGGGACCTTCGTAGATACAGAAAGCAGAGTAAGTGGTTGCCAGAGTCTGATGGGGGAGACGAAATGCAGAGTGACTATTAATTTAGATGAACTTCAGTTTTGGATTATGAGGATGTTCTGAAATGAGGGATGATGGCTCTGCAATTTTGTAAATATACTAAAATCCATCAAAATGTACACTTCTTAAAGGGTAGATGTAATAGCATATGGACTACATCTCAGTAAAGGTGTTTTTTTTTTTAATAACCAAATTCAGTAGAAACTTTGAACAGAAGAATTATTTATAATTTACTCTAAATGTTTTGAGAATATTAAAATGTATCTGGCTGGGTGTGGTGGCACTCATCTATAATTCCAGCCCTCAGGAGGCTGAGGCAGGAGGATCACTGAGCATTCCAGACTCTCAGTTGTTGTAAGTTTGTGTTTTTCAAAAAGTTGAAGGTGAGGAATGAAAAGAACTAACCATTTCTTATCAAATATCTAGAACTAGGTGCAATAGTATACACTTGTAGTCCTAGGTTGTTTGGAGGTGGAGGCAGGAAGCATTGCTTGAGCTGGGAGTTAAGACCAGTCTGGGCAATACAATGACACCCTATCTCAAAATACAGTCAGTGAGTCCCGGGTATTTAGCTCATTGGTGCCGCCCCTTGCCTTGCAAGTGCAAGGGCCTGAATTTGATCCCTGGTACTGAAAAAAACAAAAACAAACATACAGTTAGTGTTAAAGTATTTTCTCAAATAGTGTGATTTTTTTAAAAAAACACTTTTTAAGGCAGGATCTGAACAGAGTCCACAGAGTTTTCCATTTTCTTTTGCAAATTATTGTTGACAAAACTGAGTCCCTTGTCTTGTGATTTCTGATAGATTGAGTTTTCATGTTGTGTCTCTGGCATAGTTCAACATAGTCTCCGTCTCATCTTTGTCATGAACTAGTGGTCTACTGTGAGTATTGAGCAGACAGGCTTACATGAGGGGAGCAGAGATATGCCCCGAGTTGTCTTGAGGGCCGTAGGGTCTCTGTGTAACATTAGCAGCTGTTCAGGCTCACTGTGCAAGTGCACTAATGTTCTAGGAGTTGACATTGATGCTGTCTTCCATGTTCTTGTATTAGTTGGAATAGTTCTGTAAATTGAAGAAACTTTCTTTTGTCCACTTGGTTACTCATTGATACAGTTCTTATAGGAAAAGGCAGGCTAAATGCTTGATTCGTTCTTGTTATTTTCCAAAGTCAAAGTAGTGATTTACTGGCAAACTCCAGTCATGGCCAATTAATTTTTGTTATTTTAATTTTTACTTTATTATAAACTCAAGGACTTAAGCATAACTGTGATGCAGTCCATTTCAGTTATTGCCCTTTTGTGTTTTGTATGGCAGGAGAGATTGCTGTGCTTAATTTCAGGTATGTTGGAATCTGGAATTTTCTCTGTTTATTTGCAGATAGTAGGAAGATATTAAGTATAGCATGTGTAGGGGGAGGAAGCAAATTGTCTCCTGAAAAAGCTGTGTGAATTAGAGAAGGAGAAAGCCCCTTTTAACTTGTGAGCATGGAATAATCATGTGAGTTCCCAACTTTGAATATCAAGACCAATTTTTTATCTCTCAAATACTGGCTTACCTCATAACTGTAAGAATTGCAGTATTGATTATTTTAGCTAAATTGTTTTTATCAAATACTTGGTGTAAGGTGCCCAACAGGAATTTAGAAACAAGGAACTGGATTGTCCTCTGCTGGTATAACTGAAGCCTGCTGCTAAGATGGTAAGCCAGAATCTGACCTTCAGGAATGTACTGGTAGACAGGAAGGCATCCAGTTAGATTATGTGGATACAGCTTCTCAGGGCGCTAGATGGGATTCTTATTTGTGGTGAGGTACTTTCACGGGGACTCTCCTGGGGTACTGCTTTACCTCCTCTTCAGTGAGATTGCCTGTACTTTGCAAAATGTATCTATACTTGCATCCAGAGAACATGAGAACTGCCCAGCTCCTTGTGGTACCTATCTCCCAGCACTCTGGGAGGAGGCAGGAGGGTCACAAGTTCATTTAGCGGCTGAGGAAGACCCTTGTCTCAAAATAAAGGGGATGTAGCTTAGTGGGAAGGTACTGGATCAAACCCCAGTGTTCTGTCCATACATGTGTGTGCGCGCGTATGAACTTTGGCATTTTTATCCAGATGATACCAGTGTCCCACGGTGACAACTGGTTCCCTGTAGGAGTTGGAATCCTTCACATAGAGCAAAATTGTACAAGTCATTTTAGAGACAGCTGGCTCACAACACAGCAGTAATACCATCAATGCTAACAATGTGTCAGATCGTATTTGCATACATTAACTTGTCCACATAATTATAAGGTAGATGATGTTTTCTGCTTTACAAGTGGGAGACAAATAAAGAAAGGCTCAGTAACTTGCTGGAAGATTTGCACCTAGAGCGAGGCAGAGCTGGGATTTGAACTCAGGAGGTCTGTCTCTGGGTACCTGCACTCATGCCTCTGTTGTCTGTCAGGCTGTGGTACCTGAGTCATCTACCAGTCCCTCCAGGATAACAGGCAAGCTTGAGATATATGAAGAAGTGGAGCGATGGTCTAATTCAGTCAGGAAGAGACTTGAGAACCAGACTGCGGATAAGATTGTTGGGTGGAACCAGTGTGCCTCTAACCTGCCTTGGCCTCTGCATAGTCACTTGAGGCTCCTTCTCTGCTAGTTCTAGAAAAACACTTACGAAGTTTCCTAAAAGTTACACTTTTAGACCCGATTTCCTCAGCTTTTTGCTTAAATT